TTTTTTGCTTGTTTGTTTGCTTGTTTTTGTGCTGGGGATTGAACCCAGAGTCTTGTGCATGTGAGGCAAGCACTCTACCAACTGAGCTATATCCCCAGCCCAAAGCCACAGTTTTAAGAACATTTTCACTATCTATTTATGTATCTGACAAAACTCTCATATCCAAAAATACATAAAGAACTCATATTTAAGTAAGAAAAGAGAATCTAAAATTTATAAAATTGTTTAAAGTCTTAAAAAGAAGAGCTTCACACACAACAATTAAATGGCCAATAGACATATAAAAATGCACTTAGCTTTATTAAAATAATAATATCACTTCTAGGTCTAGCAGAATTACATATGCATGCATATATATCTTAAGGATATTTATTGCAACATAATTTGCAATAGTATGAAACTATAAACAAAACTAAAAACTAAAAAAGTATAAACTAAACCATCAGTAGCAGAATAGATAAATAAAATGTGATAAAATCATACAAAGAAATACTAGGTAGCAATAAGAAAGACTGAAATATTGCTACATGCACCAATATGCTTGCATCTCAAAGACACAATGTTTGAGTGAAGGCAGCCAGACCCCAAACAATATGACCAGTATGATTTCATTTTACATAGTGGAGAAGACAGTAACTGGAACTCACCCCAGGACTTTTAGGGTCCTGGCAATGTTTTTTATTTTTCCCTTTATCTTGGTAGTGGTTAAATAAATGCATTCATTTTGTGAAAATTCCATGAGTTGAACATCTATGATTTATACATTTGTAATTGTGATATTCTTCAATGAAAATTATTTCTATAAGTGTAGAAAAATTAGAAAAAATATGGAGTCACAACATTTTTTCCAAAATCTGGAATCCCGGTGGTAAAAGGCAAAATAATTCCATACAGGTGCATGCATTCAGCATATGCATTTCTCCATTTATAGAAGCAAAGGCATAAATGATGAGCATCTCTGAAAACATGAGTTGAATTCTGCAAATGAGCATTTTTATCTTTTAAGTTTTAGCTCTGCTACATATTTCATATATGCCATGCCTTTGTCAGAGCAGGAAAAAACTCAGGCTTCATCAGGTAACCTTTTTCTTATCAACATCACAGAGAAGAACTGGTGCTCAAGTACTTACTTGTCTTTCTTCTCTTGAGATACACAGAAGGAGGATAGGCTTTCTCCCTTTAGAGGCTACACTACCATTAACACACACCAACACTATGACAAGTGTGCAAATGAAAATGCTTATCTCGAGACAATTTTCTGAAAGTCTAGCTAAAAACAATCTTTCTGGTAATGAGTATTGGAGCTGAAAAGGTGAGAGGAGAAAGTTGGATAGAGGATGCTTAACAGGTAAGGGAAATGCAGTTATATAGAAGGAATAAGCTTTAAGGTTCATAATACAGTAACTCTGATTGACAACTTTTAATTATGTAATTCAGAATAGCTAGTTGTTATGGTTTGGATATGAAGTATCCCCCCACCCAAAGACTCATGTGTTGAAGGCTTAGTCTCCAATGAGCAATGTCCAGAGGTCAAGTTTTTGGGAAGTCATTAGACCAATAGGTCTCATCCATAGCCTTATGAGTGGATTAATGCATATAGCTGAAGGAACTGCTGGGAGATGGTGGAGGCTGTGGGAGATGGAACCTGGCTGAGTCGGTCACTGGAGGGCATGCCCTGGAAAGGTATTTCTTGTCCCTGACCTCTTTATTTCTCTGCTTCCAGGCTGCCAGGAGAGAGTTTTCCTACATCATGCTTTTCCACCAAGATAGTCTGCCTCACCTTAGGTCCAAAGCAGAGGAGCCAGCCAAACATGGACTGAAACCTTTGAAACTGAGCCAAATAAATCTTTTCCTCTCTAAGTTGTTTTTCTCAGGTGTTTGTCACAGTGACAAACAGCTCACCAACACATGAATAAAAAGGAGTTTGAATGTCTCCAATATAAAGAAATGATACGTGTTTTGAGGTGACAGGAGTACCATTACCATAATGAGCTGATCATTGCACATTTCATACATGTATTAAAATATCACACCATACCACATTGTGTATGTGTTTGCAATTGCACATAATGTGCAATTGTTATATGTTAATTTTTTAAAAATTAAAAGAAAAAAAAAACTTTTCCACCATTTGTTCTCATGGCCAGGGCCTTTGAGACAATCAGGTTAAACTACATTTCAAAACTCATGTGGGTTTTTGGGAGTTGGAGACAGTGCTAGAAAAGAGGTCCTGCTGTCACTCAAGTGTTGGGTATTTGGCAGGACAGACCAAAGTTGAAGCTCTTGAGCTTCAAAAATGGTGAGGATGACCCTGGGGGGCAGGGTGGGCATCTTTCACTCAGCTGTTTCTCACGACATGTTGTAATAGTTCACGTGTTCAGGTCTGAAACCACCCGCCGTCCCGACTGTTTTGTACTGAGCAACTTCAGTTGGTCTGGTTAATGTGATATCCATGTCTGGCCTGATTTTGCTTGTGTGACTTCTATGTCATGTCTGAAACTTGCCATCAAAAAAGGTCCTGGTGTGACCCAGGTTGCTCAGATCTATTGTCAATGAAACTTTATCCTAATGTCTACTCCCCAGTTTGTATCTGGGTTCTTAACTGAAACTCATTGTCCTTATCCCAACGGGTAGATTTGGGTGCTCTTTTAATCTGGCAAGTTTAAATAGTAGACTTTATGAAGGGGAAGAACTGGGGAGATCATCTATCTACCATATGCTGGGCGCTTTGTATAGGGATTGGCTATTTCAACATTTAGCATTTTCTGTATATCATACATGTTGTTAGCCCCAAATTACAAAGAAGGATAAACTTTACAGTGGACGAGTAGAATAGCTAGGAGATGCTAGCTGGGATTTGAGCCCAGACCTGGGTAAATCTAAAGCCAGTTTCTCTACTGTACTGCCTTGCTATGCCACTAAGAAGAAAATCTGCTGATAGTTGAGACCTTAGCTGAGGCTTCCTCTCCCTCCTTCCCATCGTATTTTCTGCATTCCTTAGAAAGACTGCTCTGTGAAGAGAATTAAACTATCATGAAGATCTCATCTTTGCCTGACAAAACCTGTGGTGCTGCTTGGAAGATTCATAATGTTGCTGAGGTTTGAGAGTGGCCTCTCCTACGGCCCACAGGTAATGCTTAGGTCTGGCGTTAATAAGTACCGGGATTTAAAACACATGGTGAATGAGGTCAAGGCTACACCATCATCCCAGCCAGAAACATTGCAAAATGTTCTTCCAACAATCATGCTGACTCTGAAAAGTTGACAGCAAAATAGCTCTGGGAGTCTGCTCTACTTGGGGTGGTCAGTACCATCACTTTCATGCTCTAAAAGCAAGCACAGCCTCGTTTCAGGACTTTCTCACCAGGACTAGGCAGAGAAGGATTGAGTCCCAGAGGAGGTTTGCCTGCCTCTATCCCAGATGATGACCCTGGGGAATCCACTCTGACAGTTGAGGGAATGCATCTCAGCCCAGATTCCTAACATCTGTCCAGCTGTGTGGTCACAAGGGCCTTGAGCTGCCAGTCACATGGGAACTTCAAAGCCTGCGTGACCCTCAGATAAACAAAGCAAGAGTTGAGGTAAGAACAAAAATCAGGCAAATATTTGCCATAGGAACTGCTTCTGAACTTTGCCCTGTTGTGTAGGTCCTAGTTTGCCAGCACAACCTGACCTCAGCAACCTCGCTCTCTGCTCCGTATTTTGAGATAATTTGTATTATTGCAGAGGTTTTCCACAGGCTTAGTCTGAATCAACAAGTGATGTTTTGACCCTAAAGCATGCCATTTGGAGATCCTCTACAGGGAGTACAGTCGCTCCTGAGCAGATTGGTAATGGTTTTGTCTTTTTTGCTAAAACTTGAGCTCTTATATGTTATGAAGGTTGTAATAAACTAGAAAATGCCCCAAGGAATTTTTTGAATGATAAAGTGGCTCAAATGAATAAACTAATATAAAATACAACCTATCTTCATTAATTCTTGGTTCTTACACTGTAGTTCTTAATTAATTAATGTCCTTGATTAATCAATTAATTGATTAATGTCTACTAGAAAAAAACCTTGATCCTTAAAGGGTGTGAGTTTATTATGAAGATTATCATTAAGAAGAAGGAGGGCCGGGAATGTAGTTCAGTGGTAGAGCACTTACCTAGTATGTGTGAGACCCTGGGTTCCATCCCCAGCACTGAAAAACCAAACCAAACCAAACCACAACAACAACAAACTAAAAGCAAAACAAATCCCAGAAGAAGAAGATTGGGAAGATGAAGAAAGAAGGGTGAGGAGGAGAGAAGGACACGAAAAAGGAGTAGGAGATGAAGACAGGAGGAAGGAAGTGGAAGAGGAGAATGGGAAGAAGACAACAGAAAGGGGAGGAGCAAGAGGAGGAGAGTTAGAAGAGGAAGGTGGGGAAGAAGAGAACAATTATTTACTGAGTGCTCAATCATCAAAACAATCTTATGAGTTAACACTAGTATTTCACTTTTTCAGATGAGAAATTCTGTCCTAGAGAGGTTTGACAACTTCCCCAGGCCAGGCATGCAGGAGTGCTGGGTCCGGAGATGCAACAGCAGGATGCTGTGAGTCCAGAGCTGCACCCCTGCCCTGTGCTTTTCCTAGCATCTCCCTCTACACAGGATGGCACTGTAGGGGCAAGATCACCCTGACAGGGAGAAATTAATAAAGGGGCACACAGATCCCCATAATTATAAGCTGGGTAAAAATGAAAAGTAGACCCACCAAGAGATGGAGGGGACCCACAGAGAAGTGGAAGGATGAGGAGATTGTGTTATTGCAGAGATAAGAAAGGATATTTCCCAAAGGCTGAGGGCAGGAGGGACATTTTACTAATCTAGGAACCAACAGCTATGAGGACCTCTCTCTCACATCCTTTCTCCTGAGTAAGGCCTACTGAGCTCTCAGTGACAAAGTTTGAATAGTTTCATTGAAATGGATCTGAAAAATACTATAAGAAATTGTTATGTGTGTTGAAACTACTCACCAGAGCCTTAGAGCTGGTTATAGCATAAGTTTCTCTGCAGCCAGATAAGGTCTTCCAAGGCACGAAGGGACTCCTCTTAGGTAGGAGGCTTTGGGGACCTTGGACTCCTGCTCTCTCCTCTACCTTGAGTATCCTTGTGGTCACCAGCTCTGACTTCCTGAAGGACCAGGGTTGCGGAACTTTAAGAAAAATTGAGTAAATAGAACAAAACAAAACAATGGATAAGAAGCCTTGTGAGATCATCAGGTTTATGATGGACAATTACTTGTTGGCCATCCGTTTGGCACACTTTAGGTGCATAAGGTGGAGATTTCTACTTTTTAAAGGCAAGACCCCAAGTCATGGTGCTTGTGAGTGAAGTTAGAATCCAGGTGAAGTTGTCTGCATAATGGGCTCACCCTTCTGATCTACCGTGCTGTGACTCAGAAGTGAATAAGCTGTGCTGAAAATCAAGCTGTGGTTCCTAAGTGATAGGTAAAGATATTGAGGTATGCCTGGGTCAATTCATTTCTAAAACCATGCCTTGAGCCCCTCTAGCCAGGCATGTTGACATATGATCAGCAATATGGACACAGAGGATAACTCAGGTGAGTCACCTTCTGGATGACAAAGACAGTAAGTTAATGGGCAAATGATTTCAGAATGTGGTAAGTGCTATGAAACAATTAAGGTGAGGTAATGCAAAGTGACCAGATCGAAGGGCTATTAAAGACTGAGCTGTTTAAGAAAGTCTCTTCTTGGACCCTAGCCAGAACAAGACATAAAAAATTTACCTGAAAGATCATCTTTTAGACTAAAGAGGCCCAAGTTCTAGGAATCGACCCTGATGCTCTAGCATCTTGGAGCTTCCTCCGGGCTGTTGACTTGTTCTGATTCATTAATGCCGCATTCTGATGCTAAGCCCTAGCAGGAGTGTTAATGCCTGGCCAGAGGCCTGGGGTCTTCTCACCTATAATGTTTACCACAGGGACTAAATGGATTTCATTTCTAAATCAAGGTAAATAATACAACAGTCAAACAGAGCTGACCTATAATAAAGAAGAGGTAAATTTATAATAAAAACAATAGAATGTGTTGGCTTATCCTTAATCATTTCCAAGCTCTTTA